TTCCATTTTTACTTGCCAGAATCCTGATTTACAATCAAATTTAGAATATTATTATTTTCCTCTTGCAAGATTTATTAGTACTTTTTTATTTGGTAGAAAGTAATTATTAAATTTAGTATATTTGTTTAATTCTTTATAATTTATAACCATTCTAACTTTTCCTCTAACTTGTTCAGAGTGTTTCATAACCATAAAGACTGGACTACTATGAGGTTCATTACTAGGTCTAATAAGTTTTTGTTCTAACAATTCTTTTATCTGATTTTTAAATTCTTGTGTATCTTCTATTGTATACATCATTGGTTTTATTCTTATTATAACATTTTCTGTTAATTCTATTTTGACTTTTTGGTGATATGGTTTCCAAAATAATAATGGATTTTCTCCATAAACTTTTTCTAATTGTTCAATGATTTTTTCTATATTTATTTCTATTCCTATTTTTAGAACCTTTTTATATAATTTTTTATTTTTTATTTCATTATTAAGAATTGGTTTTTTCTCCCATTTATCACCACGCTGTGTTGGCTGAACTTTACAAGATCTAAATTCTCTAGGAATTTTTAATAAGTGTGCACAAGGTGTTTGTAACATTATCATATAATTATTTTGTTTATAATATTGAAATTGTTGTATGAAATCATTTCCTAATAATATATCACATTCTAATTTATCATATTTATAAACTTTATTTATTGTTACTTGTTTACTTCTAGGAATTATATTAACTTTATCAGCACTATTAATTATTTGAGTACCATCTCCTGTAACGCCAATTATTTTTATATTACTATTATTATTCCATGATTTTATTAAAAAACTTTTAAATATTGTTATATCACTTCTTGTATCTATTAAAGCATGAGATGTTATATTTGTTTCTACAATAGTAATTTGTATATACACAGCTGATGGAAAATTTATCTGACTATTCATTTAATTCTTTTTACATAATATAGTTTGTCCATTATGAACAATATATAATCTTTCTCTTTTAATACTATAATCTTCTAATCCATTTAGAAAACTCATTCCTAAAAGTATATAGGGATTTATATCCATACTTTTATCTATGAAACATGGTACTAAAAGATATATTCCTCCTATTTTTATTGGTACCTTAAATTCTAAATATGTTATATGGACTTGTCCATCAAAATTTACATACTTATATGGTTCAGTTTTATGAGTTATCAGTCCTTTGTTTCTAATCGAAGCTATATGACATTCGCTAGCTTCTATATCAATTAATATATTTGGTCTATTTATATTTTCTCTTCCATTATAATATTCTCCTTCTATTTTCATATTTTCAGCATTCCTATATAATTTTACTTCTTTTATTTTGTTAATTTCCTCTAACTGGTTTTTATTAGGTATTTTAAAACTTTTTGATCTTTTAATTAATTTTTCATCCTTAAATGTTATGTTATTAGAACATTCTCCTTCATTTAATTATGTTATTTCAGGTTTATTTTTTGTTATACTAAATTCATATTCTTCTAGAATTAAACTTATTTGTTTATCTGGTTCTATTATTTTACTAATATCTTTACATTCTTTATAAACTTCAATATATAATATATTAGAATAAATATTCCTATAATTAGAATTGGTAAATGTATATAAAGTTCTATATTCTATAGTCATAATTTGATCACCTGATTGTATAATATCATCTCTATAAAGCTTGAAATGTAGTCCTAAAACTTCATTAAAGTTTCTATCTTTTAATGATACACAATATTTTGGATAGCATGTAAACATAATTTTTTGATATGCTAAATTTCCTTCTATTGTTCCTAAATGACTATCTTTTAAGTTTATTATTCTTACATCATGTAGAGTCATGGTTAAGAGTGAATCTATTTCTTTTCAAAATAGTGATTTAAACATTATTTGTATTCCTGCTAAATAAACATATTGGATTTTTTCACTTTGTTTTTTACTAATTTTTGTTAATAGTTCATCAACTGTATTTTTTGTTAAAAGATTTTTAATTTATATTGTCCATAAGTTGTTCTTACATCTATAATTTTTTTTATTTTATGATATTCATTTATTACTATTCTTTCTCTTTTCTAAATTCTATCAAAAACTTCCCATTTTCCTATTTTTAAATCTAAAGATAATTTTTGTAATTTTCTAAATTTGTTATTATCAAAAGTAACTTTTAATCCACACCCTTCTATTCTTTCATATTCTTGTATATTTATATTATTTCTTTCTATTTCTTCAATCTCTTTATTTAGATCCCGATTCATCCTCTTCTGTTTCACTTATATATACTTCTTGATCATAGTATTCTTCAATATCTGATATTTCACTTAATTCCTCTTTTACTTTTAAATATTCTTTTTGTAATATTCTAACTTTATTTTTATCACAATCAGAACTTATATGACATATTTCTCTACAATTCCATCATTTACATTGACTTTTACTTTTCTTATAATTCTTATTTTTCTGTTTATTATATTGATTATTTTTTCTTTTATAATACCTTTTTTCTAGGTTCTATATATTTTTTATTAAAATTTCTAAATTTTTTAAATTTTTTATTTTTAAACTTTCTTTTATTAATTCTTCTTTCAGGATTACATTCTCATTGCACAGGGGTTTTCATATCTTCACAACATATTTTAGTTAATTTTCTTGATTTTTTCATTAATTGTCTTTGTTGACATATATATGCAAGTCTTTCAAATAAAAATTTTATTCTTGAACCTAAAGTTCTAGATATTCCAGTATTATCTCTAACATATTTTTCAAATTCTATTTTAAAATATATTCCTTACGAACTTGATAACTTATTATAATACATGTCTTGATATACTTCTTGATTTTCGTTACTATAAAATTGAACATAATAGTAATTTTTAAATTCATAAATATATTCCTTAATTTTACACATATCACATATTGTTAAGTTTATTAATTTTATTTTAGCATTATTTTTTTCTCTTATTGATTCTTTTTCATCATTTCTTATCCAATTTTCTCCTAAAAATTCATCTGAAACATATTCTACTAATTTTTCTATACCTTGTCTATCTGATTTTATTATTTTTGTTTGTACATTTCTTTCTATTAATGTTTTTCTATCATTGCTTGTTCCTTCCCACCAATTTCTAACATTTCCTTCAAAGGATGCTATTAAGAAATCTATTCTTCTTTCAGTACTTTCCCATGTGTCATCTTTATTATATAAAAAGAATAATATCATCGAATCTATCCAAGTTAATAAGACTTTTTTTTTGTATCTATTTTACAATTTAGATTTAGTTTTGTTCCTCCATGATTAATTGGTTTATCATAATTATCATTTAATTCAAACATATCTTTATATTTATTTCCTTTAGGTGGTCCTCTATCTCTTACTTTATCATAAAATTGTCTATATGGTTTATTATATATGGGTGCATAACTTTCATCTGTATCGTGTAATTCTTGTTTCGAGATTCCTGCTGGATTAGGTCCTCCTCCAGTATTCGTTAAAATTTGGTATTTACTTATATCAGTTAGGCTTAATTGATCAAAATTTTCTATTAGCAAATCTAACTTTTCATTCATTTTTATCTTCTTTCTCTTCTATTTTTTATTTTCCTAGTGATTTTTCTTTAAATTATTCTTATTCTTCTAATATCTTTGGTAATATATTTTTTCTAAATTCATCATAAATGCTCCCTGTTTCTATTACTATATTTTCTTTCTCTATATGTTTCTTTCCTATTCGAGTCATTTCTTTTTCTATAAGTTTTTTTTATCTTTATTCTTATTATTTTCTTTTAATTCTCCAATCTCAATTTTTAATATATTTATATCATTTCTTGTTTCTTTTACTTCATTTCTCAATTCTTGTACATCCTTTATTAACATTTTAATTATTCCATATATTCACTTATTGACATCTTAATTTTTTCTTATTTTTAACTCATAAGTTAATTTGCATCTTTTATCTTCTTTCTTATCTATTATTTTTCTAAATCTTCTCTCAACTATATCTGAATCTACTAATTCTTCTTTAACTACAGTAAAATATTTGCTCTCAAATCTTAGTCTTTCACATTTTAACTTTGTTAATCGCCTATTATTTGATATTCTCATTCTTTCTGGTATTAACATTATATTTCCTATTTCTTCTTGTATTTTATCCATTTTTAAAAGTAATTTATTTAATTTTTGTTGAGTATTATCAATTGTACTCATATTTTTCTTTATAATATAAATTATTTTCTTCATCTTCATATATATTAATAATTTTTTCATATGTATAAATATCTTTTATTCTTTCTATTATTAATTTTTCTAATATTTGTTCCTTTATTTCTTTACGAAGTTCTTTAATTATTGTCAAAGTTATTATTTTTAATTTATTATGAATATGTTTTAAAAATATATAACTACCTTTTTTCTTTTTCTAAACACCAATAATTATCTATTTTTCTTATTTTAATTTCCATGATCTCTATGGCTCTGATACCAATAAATGGAGGTGCTACTTAGAGCGAAGATAAATCAAATAAATCTAATAAATCAAATAAATTGGTAATCTATTAAAATTCATGAAGTATTTGATTTTTTAAGGACTAAATTGAAAGATTTCTATATTTCATCAACTTATTATGTAATATTATAAAGGGGTATTTTGGGTATCAAAATTAGTCAAAGGCTATTTTGGAAAAATGACCTTTCTATTTGGGTCATTTCCATGTATTTCCCGGGAAAAAATGGGGGAAATGGGCATCGTCCTCTTACTTTTTATTTTTCGATTAACTTTTAGATTATTTTATTATTTTTTTATATTAAAATTTGAAATATTTTAAATACATTTAATTATAAATTCGCTTTCTAAATTAAAATATTAATTTAAATAGTCGATTGAAACATAATTTTAAGGTCGACTCTTTAAAATAGAAATTGATAGCATCTGAGTTTCTCGGAGATCTCTAAATACTCTAAAGGTTGTGTTGATCTCGAACTGTTCAAAAAAAAAAAGAATGAATCACGACATCAAAGCCCAAACGCAGAAATGAATCTTTCTGAGTTATAATTAATAATACCGTAAGATAGTCTCCAAGCACGCCTACTATAATATATAGCAAGTACTCCATCATGGCATCACCCATGCAGGAAGTAGGGTCAATGGCCACGTTAATCCCACATATTACCTTTGGCTCTCCTTCAATCTCAACACGGCACCCCTCGTTCAAGAAAACCCACAAAAAAAGTCTTCTCAGAATCTCCAAAACGCCTCGAAAACCCATCCACTTAAAAGGAGCGTTTTTATCACCCACTCGTAGTATAAGCTCCAATTATAATCAAAACCAGTGTCTAGATGAAGCTCTGTCATTGGCGCTTGATTTTTGTGCAAGCGAAAAGTTCCTATCACAAGGCAGACAAATCCATACCCATATAGTAAAAGGCAACAATGTTTGCGATTTAGTGTTCTTGAATACAAAGCTCGTGCTTATGTATGGGAAATGTGGATGTTTATTATATGCTGAGAGGGTGTTCGATGGAATGTTTGAAAGAAATATTTTTACTTACAATGCTATGCTTGGTGCTTACGCGTCAAATGGGGAGCTTTTGAAAGCAATAGAACTTTATGCTGACATGGGAATCTTGGATATCCCTGTGGATGCTCATACATTTAGTTGTGTATTGAAGGCATGTGGTGGTGTTAAAGACTTGTTTGTTGGAAGAGAAATTCATGCATTGGCGATAAAATTTGGGTTCGTTTGTAATGATATTTTACTTAATTCTTTAGTAAGTATGTATTACAAGTGCAATGATCTTAATGCAGCAGAATTGTTATTTCATAGAATAAGTAGTAGAGGGGATGTTGTGCTTTGGAATTTAATGATATCTGCATATTCAGTAAATGGGATGAGGAAAGAAGCTTTCAGGCTTTTGGTCGAAATGTGGAATCTTGGTGTTACCCCCAGTACTTACACTTTTGTGGCTGCTCTTCAGGCATGTGAGGAGCGAATTCTTGGGAGTTCTGGCATGGAAATCCATGCTGTTGTTTTGAAATCTGGTTTTCATTACAATATCTATGTTGCTAATGCTTTGCTTATCATGTACGCAAGATCTGGGAAATTGAATGAAGCTGAGAAAGTTTTTCTGCGTATGGATGAGGGGGATTATGTTTCCTGGAATTCAATGTTATCCGGTTATGTACAAAATGGCCTTCATAATGAAGCGCTGGATTTATTTGCTGATATATTCAGAGATGGTCAGAAACCTGACCATGTTTCAATTATAGGCGTTCTTTCTGCCTGTGGCAGGTCAGGAAAGCTGTTGAATGGGATGGAAGTTCATGCTTTTGCTTTGAAAAATGAGCTAGATCTTGAACTGCAAGTTGGCAATACCCTGATAGACATGTATGCAAAGTGTACTGAGATAAGTTATATGGACTCTGTTTTCCATAGAATGCCATGTAAAGATTACATTTCTTGGACAACAATCATTGCTGGCTATGTTGAAAATAATTTTCACATGAAGGCCTTTGAACTGTTCAGGAAAGTGCAGTCAGAAGGAATGGATGCTGACAGAGTGATGATTGAAAGCATTCTTCTAGCGTGTCATGGGTTAAAATGCATTTTGCATGTGAAAGAGATTCATTGTTACATGATGAGAAGAGAATTATCTGATCGTATCCTACAGAACACTCTCTTGGATGTGTATGGAGAGTGTGGACATGTAGATTATGCATGCAATATCTTTGATTTGATTGAAGTAAAAAATATTGTATCGTGGACAAGCATGATAGCTTGCTATGTCCATAATGGACTAGCATATAAGGCTCTTAAACTTTCATCCTACATGGTAAAATCAGGTGTTGAACTGGACTCTATTGCACTGCTGAGTATGCTCTCTGCTGCTGCTGATTTATCAGCACCGAGAAAAGGCAAAGAGATTCATGGTCATTTGCTTAGGAAGTGTTTTGTTTTAGAGGGCCCCATTGCGAGCTCACTCGTGGATATGTACGCCAGCTGCGGGACTGTTGACAACTCATATAAGGTTTTCTGTCATATTAAAGATAAAGATTTAGTTTCATGGACGAGCATGATCAATGCATATGGAATGCATGGTCATGGTAGGAGGGCAGTTGATTTATTTAGAAAGATGGAGGCTGAGAAACTTCTTCCTGATCATGTTGCCTTTTTGGCACTTCTCTACGCGTGTAGTCATTCATCAATGGTTGATGAAGGCAAACAATTTTTTGAAATAATGCGGCATCAATATAAATTGGAGCCATGGCCAGAACATTATGTCTGTCTGGTTGATCTTCTGGGTCGTGCAAATTATGTGGAAGAGGCATTTCAAATCATTAAATGTATGAAAATGGAGCCAACAGCTGCTGTTTGGTGCGCTCTCCTTGGTGCTTGCCGAATTCATTCTAACTCTGAAATAGGAGAAATAGCTGCAAGAAAGCTTCTTGAAATTGAACCGGTGAATCCTGGAAATTATGTGCTTGTTTCTAACATGTATGCTGCAGAAGATAGATGGGAAGATGTTGAAGCAGTGAGGATGAGAATGAAAATAACAGGACTGAGGAAGGATCCTGCTTGTAGTTGGATTGAGGTAGGAAATACGGTTCATACATTTATTGCTAGGGACAGGTCTCATCCAGATTCTGATGGAATCTATTCAAAATTAGCTCAGATTACGGAGAAATTAGAGAATGAAGGAGGTTATGTTGCTCAAACTAGGTATGTGCTGCATAATGTAGAAGAGAAAGAAAAGGTCAAGATGCTTTATGGGCACAGTGAAAGGCTTGCTATTGCCTATGGCCTACTTACTACTCCCAAGAGAACAACGATTCGAATCATGAAGAACCTTCGTGTATGTGGTGATTGCCATACTTTCACTAAGCTCATTTCCAAGTTTTTTGAACGAGAAATTGTAGTGAGAGATGCCAACAGATTTCATCATTTTAAGGATGGGGTCTGTTCCTGTGGAGATATCTGGTGATAGTTTGAATGTGTAAAAATGTTTCTATAAAAAGAATCTGCTCCGGATACATTTTGGCAATCTCACTTGTTGATATTCTTGGGTCTCCTTGTAAATTGTAAAGTGGAGAGCTGAATCAGAGACATAATTATAGTAGTTATGAGCCAAAGAAAAAATGCCCTTGAGAAGCTAATGACCATTGATATCTTTGTAGCATCTTTCCCATGGCCAAAATATGCCTGTTTCCATGCAGTTGCAGAGGGTTCACTGTGAACAACTTCGAACAACCTAATTGTCAAAAAAGGTTGAGAATCAGGGCCAACCAGAGGGTGGCTGACAATTCTGTGTATGAAACAAGCAATGTAAGTAAATGCAAGCCTACTGATCTTTCCCTTTTTCTTTGAGTTTGATTTGGCCAAAAAATGAAATTTTGATCTTCATATAGGGGATTAGTGTTTCAAGAATTCAGCTTACTTCTTTGCCTCTGACTATCATTATGATGTAATCAAATTTGAGATCGTTTCTTGACATGTATATCCTAGTATTGTAAGTAACAATCAGGCTTTCTTTTCTCCATTTTTTTTAGGAGCTTGTAAAAAAAGATGATGAAGTAGAAGAAGCAAGGATAAAAATTAAAATATAGAAGTATTCATGGAATTGTTAATTTTTTTTCATTTATACGTATTATATCATACATTTATCAACTTTTTCCCTTGATGAAATTATACATAAGAAAATGAACTCCTACATAATTGGACGAATAAAAATTAACTAGAACAAGTTGACATACAAGCCCGCCCGGGAATCATAGGGACCCTGCAAATTAGCCAATCTCCTAGATGACATCAGTTAAGTCCCATCTTCATATATCCTTGTCCCCCAGCTGCACTTTTTGAAACTTATTGGGAACCTAGTTCCATTGAAATAGCAAAGTGGATTGACAGAAAACAATGAAGTTATCATTGTAATAGGAACTTACAATAGTCTATGGTACAGAGGTGAAGATCTGCATTAATATTGTATGGCAATACCTCTTAAGTTTACATTCGCCGCTGGGATGGGTTCTTCCCCTTCTCTTGTATGCCATTTTCCTTACGTACTTTTCATATCTTGGACTTGTTGGGATAGTTTGCCTTCATGCCTTTGTAGGTTTCTGATTGGAGTGTACGGGGTGGCTCAATATGGTCGGTTTGATCTAAAATCAAGCCAACTCATTTATTTGTTTCATTCCAACCCAATCAAGTTTCGGTCGAGTTGGGTTCAGTTGAGTTGGTCGCTTTAGACACAAAAAATCATAAAAATATGCTCGACAATAAAAACCTATTAACCACAACGTTGCGGCCATGAACAAAAACTTGTAATTAAGTATGAAGGAAAGTGTATATATTATAAAAATTATCATTTCGTTTAAAGGAAAAATAAGCCAGAAACCAAGCCCCAAATTATCACATTTTCAAAACATAAATGAGTAATCAACTTACGAGTTAAGAGTGCCAAAAGGAATAAAGTCCGGCGATTAGCGACAAGCCTAGATGCAAATAGAGTTCGACATTTAGGTTAGACTAGAGAGAAAGAGGAAGTATCAGAGAAATGATAAAACTTTTTAAACTAGATCCGTGGGGTTTCAATTTTTTAATTTGTCTATTTATTATTATTATTATTTTAAGTAGCGGGTTTTATTGGTTTTGATGGATCAACCCAACGCATTTGTTTCTAAAAAAAATCCAACCCAATAGAATTTTAAGAAACAAACTGGTCAATTTAATTTGGGTTGGTCGGTTTTCATGGATTGGTTCGGTTTTGCCCACCCTACCTATCTTTTGTGGAATGGATTCAGACAATAATCTTGTTCTCTCTAAATATGAAACTCTTGTAACTAAGGCTATTCGCTAAAAATTCTATACCGCAAGTACACGGGTCGCGTTAAAGTAATAAAGTGGACCTTTTGAGTCTGAATTGTCGATCCCTTGATGAATGTGTACTTTAGATTACACAACCTTAATTAATTTAATTCTAACAATAAAAATGAACACACACAATTAAAATATGATTTTGAAACAAGGAAATTAAATAAAAACCTATAAAATAAGAAAATATAAAATCTTGAAAATTTCGGAGGACAACATGATTGTGATTCAGGTTTCGCTTAACCGTCGCCTAATTAATTTCTCCACAAGCCAATTAACGAATTATTTATTTACGATGTTTAACCCGATCTTTCAATTTTAGTTAATTACCTCTCTAGAGTGAAATTAACCCTAATCGATTGGTTTAACCTACTATATCTCTATGTCAGTTAAAATCAAACAATCGTATTCAATATTTTTGAAAATAGCTCAATGGGTCACCTAGAGCTAGGTATATATTTCTATTCCCTACACAAACCCAAGGTTTCTACTATTAGATCTAAAATGCACAATCTTCTCTCGAACGATGTACAAATCACTATACACATTCATTATAAATGAAAATGCATGAAATATAATAGTAGGAACACATGAAAATAAGCAATTTAATATTAAAGAGCAAATATTAAAATTAATCAAGACTAGGTTAATCTACAACCATAATCCCAACACAAATAATTAGCCCATATATATATATATGAATAAAAAAAGAATATTTTATACAATACATTTCAGGTTTGACAAAATAATGGAGATAATACAAGATTATAGATAAAACCCTTTTATTGGATTTTTTAAGATGAAATTGCTTGCTTTTGATTTCTCCAAAACCTTGCCAAATCCTTTGATTGAATCTCCTTGTGCTCTAGGTTTGATCTCCAAAATACCAAGAATTGAAAGGAGAAAAATAAAAGAAAAAGTAAATGAAGAAGCAGAAGCCGACAGAAGAAGACTCAAGAAATCGTGAGGAAATACACGAAAATGGCTCTTTCACTATAGCAAAATTTGACATTGGCCTTTGACCCATTAAATGAATTTAAAAAAAAACAAAGTAAGTTAAAAAAAAAACTTCACAGTAAAATGCCATTTTACCCTCAGACTGTTTGAAAATCTCAACCGACCGACCGACCGACATCGTTCTTGACCGACCGACGACCAACACCGACATCCACCACCGGCAACGACCATCATTTACACCGGAAATAAAATAACCGGTTAGTTTTCATCACTTTTCTCCAGTTAATGCGGTTCATGTGTAAGTTTATAGCATTTTCCTTATTATTCGGTTTAATTAGATCCATGGGCATGAGTAGTTAGATTGTGGGCAGGTGGGAGTGTAAAAAATGTGGATTATTAGGTTTTTTTGGAGCTCAGTGGCCGGGAATAGCGATTTCCGGCCATTCCCGACCACGGTCGATTTAACAGTCGGGTAAACTGACTGTTACACAGTCTGGGTTAGTTTAGACCGACTGTTAACGGCCCAGACTATATTCAATTTTAAATTTTTTATTTGATTAAATAGTAATTATGTTATTTATTTATTTAATTTTTTATCATTGTCAATATAATATAATATAATAATTGAAATATTGTAAAATTAACAATGTTGATTCTTTTTTTTTATGAAATTATCTTTAATTTATTTTTTCAAATTTATTTAAATAATATGAATAGTCTTTACATTTTAAAAAAAGGTAAAGTAATTATTTATTTAATTTTTATATTTGTCTTTTATATAATTTAATAATTGAAATATTCTCAAATTAACAATGTTGATTCTTTTTTTTTTTTATGAAATAATCTTTAATTTATTTTTTCAAATTTATTTAAATAATATAAATGGACTTTACATTTTTTCAAAAAATGTAAAGTAATTATTTATTTAATTTTTATATTTGTCTTTTATATAATTTAATAATTAAAATATTCTAAAATTAACAATTTTGTATTGTTCCTTTTTTTTATGAAATAATCTTTAATTTATTTTTTCAAATTTATTTAAATAATATAAATAGTCTTTACATTTTTCAAAAATGTATTTAATTTGAAATTTTTTGTTTGTAAATATTTTTTCCAAATAATAATTATTTTATTTAATTATTTAATTTTTATAATTTTCTTTTTTATATAATTTAATAATTGAATACATAATATTGTTCGAAATTAACAATTTGTTTTGTTCCTTTTATTGTTCTTTTATGAAAATCTTTGATTTTTTTTCAATTTATTTAAATAATATTTATATTCTTTAATTTTTTTGACAATACATTTAATTTGATTTGTTATTTTTTTTGTAAATATATTTTTCAAATGTAATATTTGTGATTGTATGGTAGTTAGAGTTCGGTTCTCTTGATTTTGTGAGATTATGCTTTTTTTTGTTATCTCTTGTTCAATGCTATAACATTTGAATTTTTGTAGGATGGAGTATCATTTAGATGCAGAGTTGAGACGGATGTCGAGGAAAGCTACTTGGAACAGTAGTTTTGAGAGTTTTACTGTTGTGTTGGAGCTGCTCGATGATCAGCACGGAGATATGCTACGACAATCCTTCTTGTCTCCACTGTACTAGTTGCGAGAGGTGCAATACTCAGGACAGATCATTGATGCATTTCTATGTCGACTTCTGAGGCCAGTCGACGGCGATTCCCTCTAGTTCGACCTCGGGGGCAAGGTCGTCAGTTTCTGGATGTTTGAATTTACATTGATCACTGGACTGAGGATTACGGGCGACGATACAGCCATGGAGAGAAGTAATAGGCTGTACGAGACGTACTTCCAAGGATATGGGTCGGTGCTTCTACCCGACTTGATGGTCGCGATCAGGGGGTGCGACCATATGCTAGATAGATTGAAACTTGGGTTGGTCTACATCCTCGAGAGTGTGATGAGGTGTCATCATAAGAAGACTGCCATCGACATTTTTCATTTGCAAGTTGTTGATGACATTGATGCGTTCAACAACTATTCGTGGGGCCGAAGATGCTACGAAGACACCGTACATGTGTTCACAGATCGCACTCGAGGCCCAAGGGGTCGATGAGTAAATACGATACATATGGATTGCCGTTAGCGGTGCAGGTAAATGTTTAATATAATCAAAGTTAAAGTTTTAGTGTATTACATTGATACTTAATAAGTGTATGTGTTACAGATTTGGATGTATGAGACAGTTCCTGTATTAGGGGCCCGCTTTGCGCAGCGAGGGGAGACACGCTGCCCTCGGATGCATCATTTGAGATCATCGATAGTGGAGGGATGTCCCATTGGGAAGCAGTTATCGGCCCTCCTCGACGATCCTCAGGTAAGTATTATACATTTGTGATTTATATTATACGTAATTTAAAATTTTGTTTACATGATCGTTAAGTAGTTGAAATGTCAATATGTCAGCTTGAAGTCATACCTGAGTTGACACCATCGATGGAAGAGGAGGCTCGGGGTCTTGTGCGAGATTTAGGCGTTCCGCACACCCCAGACGAGGAGATGTCCGATCCGAGCTTGGATCGAGATTGGGTATGTGAATGAAATAAAATTTATTGAATATCATCGACGTATAAATTTAATAAATAATTTTTCATTTTATTTATGTAGGAGGGCGGTCCAGCTGATCGACGATCACCTCCGTCGAGAGTATCGCCACCACCATTGGCATCACCTTCACCGAGAGTATCGTCCCCGCCATTGGCATCACCTCCGTCGAGGGCATCAC